AAATCCCTTCTCGATAAACATCTGTTAAGGCACAAAGTATTTATTATAAAATCTAATCATAAAATCAGAAATAATTTGAATTACTATAAGAACTTGATAATAATAAGGTTTAAGTTATATTGAAACATTTACAAAAGAGGATGTTACGTAAACAAGTTGAAGAAGTTTTATATTTCAACTTATTTGCTTCTATCCGATACTCGGGATTTGCGAGCTAACGGATGATCAACTTTGTCAGATCGATCCGCCACTCAATCCATATCCTAAAAACTTTTTCTACAACTGTCTAATCGAGACGTCCGAGGGAGACAGACAGCCACAATGTACAGATATAGCGTTTATGCGGTCAAATATCTCGGCCTTTGCCGAAGTACAGTCGTGCACATCTTACATCTACATACATCCATGATCATTAGTGTTTTCACCTTTTACGTCACCGGAAGTTCATGAGTATTTTTAATTAAAAATACAATAGTGCAATAAAATTAAATGCCCATTATCAGTTGAAACATTGTATCAGATTTATGAATAAACATCGTAGGATATAGCGATTGATTTATTCTTTCATCCAAATATATCATATCTAAACATAATAAAAACTAAAATGAAATCATATTATTTGTATTAAATATGACTCTATTAAATATGAACTATTTTATCAAGTGACTAAATGTTATTAATATTTTTAACATTCAGTGCAATATAAATTAACAGAACATTAATAATTAATTTTTATATTAAAAAGTGAAAAATATATTTAAGGCTAAATAAAAATGGTAAAATATTATATAAATATTATGAAGCTAACTATTTTAGTTATATAAATTGTAATGCATAAAAAGGTTTAAATTAATGTTTGAAAAATTATATTGTTACGTAACATTTGCTATATTTGTACAAATATGATAGTAAAATAAATAAATACTATCAATTATCCACACATAAAATTTGCGACTTTGATTGTCAAGAAATAATAAAACGAATAAGTTTAACATATAAAGTTTATAATCAGCATCTATAAAAAAAAATTAATTTATCGCAAAAAGTAGTGCCATAATCTGATTTGTTTTGCCAATTTGACGACATTTATAACAATAACTAATACTATAAAATAAATTTCATGGAGTTGTTGTATCATAACGTTAGTTTGTCATCCTATCTTTTAATTATTGAAAAAAGAGAAATTAAAATTTAGATTTAAAAATAATTTAAAGCATTTGAGGACTATATTCTAGATAAAATTATAATAATATATAAATACGGACTACAAGCATAAATCTTCGTTATTTTAATAATTATTTTTAATATTTACGTGATAATGATTAAACACATAATTAAAATTTAACTTCATTAAACATTTTTTTATAATGAAATGATTAGATTTATAAAGATATTATTCATCGACTACTTATAAAAAAATATTCATCATAAGTAAGTTTAAAATAATGATTAAAAATGAAATCTTAAATCAACTTAATTTTTTTTCTTCTCTTACTGAGGGAAAGTTTTCATTGGCTATTTGTAAATTTGGAACAACCTGTTATAATATGATCGATTTAAAAAAGACATTTTGTATGCTATATTCATATAAAAACAATTCAAACAAGCATACATCAATTATAATTTATATGAGAATTCAAAATCTACTAACAAATAATAAATGAATAAGGCTATTATTAATGTGTTATATTTTAAAAATTCTGAAAAGTATCATTACTATGTGATTTATAGTTTCAATAAATAATCTATACCATAATACAATATTTCAAATTAAAACAAAATTAAAAAGTCGAATTCAATGTTTATTTCAGAATAATATAAAATAATATAAAATAATATAAATCTTAATTATAACAAGTTTCGAATAAATAATAAATTTAAAATTTTGTCACGAGTAATATAAATAAATTTACGATAAAATTCAAACTAAGCTGTAAATTACAGTATCCTATAAGACATTTCTATATTTAACACTAATTCATTAGTATTATTATATATTCTATCAATATTTAGGTAATAATGAATAGATTATATTAATCCATTGAAACATTTGATAATTTAAAAGACACTTCATAAGTTCTGAAAGTATTTTTATCTATGCATGTAATAGAAACTTGAATTTGTTAATTTATTATATTTATTATGTTTATTTTATTATATTTATTAATTTATTATATTATTTGTTAATTTATTATATTAATAGTAACTTATTATTTTCTACAGCGCACATTATTGAATAAAATTGAAATTTTATTATTATTTATATCATCCTTTTATTGTTATTTTCAATTTTAGTTTGTGTTTTGAAAATATAAGTACCGATCACAAAGTTTTAATTCGACATTTAAAATGAATACGATAGACATAACATTGCCATTATATAAACCTGATAAAAACTGAATATTAAATAGTAGAAAAATTGATTATTATTTAGGATAAAAATAAAAACTAAAATAAGTAATTAACTAAAATAAATAGGATAAACATAAAATGTTTTTGAAATATATAAATATAATATTTCTATACATAAAACTACTTAAATATAAATATTTAATTACTATTTTAATTTTATTTTACAAATTTATTTTTTTTTAATATTAATAATATTTTTTGTTTTATATAGAACATTATTTTTTGAATTTCCAATATTATATTTCTGATTATATAAACACTAATTTTGTAATATTATCTAAAATATATCAATAGTCATCTTAAAATGATAGTTACATTAACTTAACAATTTTTCAGTAAATAATCAACAGTATATTTAAGTTTTTATATTAACTATAAGTAAATGTATTATGTTATCTTAGAATAATATAAAAGAATATTCGCTAGCAACTAGTAATAAATAGAAATTATTTATATTTTTAATAATTATGCAATGAAAGCGCTAAAAAAATTATATATAAACATTAAAAACCTCTTTATTTTATTTAATCGTCTACATATTAAGCATTAATTTTCAAATAATTTGGTATTTAAAGTCCTATTATAAATTGGAACTTAATCGTGTTGTAAAATATAAAAGTTATTTTCTTTCTATACAGTTATTATAAATATTTTAATATTTCTATTCATATTTTAATAAAAATAAAAATGATGATTTTCTAATTTTTTTAATACTAAGAGTTTCTGACGAGTATATGATTTGAAATCAATATTTTAAATGCTAAATTAATTTGTTTAATATATTTTTTTTTTAAAAACATAAGTGTTTTATAATTGATATTGAATTTTGATCAATAGATAATGTTGGAATTTACTAAATATCAACTTATTAGCTTACGCAGTACAAACTTATTAATGTATTATTTTAAAATTAATACAATATAATGTTATACATACATACATACATACATATATATATATATATATATATATAATATACGTCAAAGTTATTCTCTATATTGAAAGTTTTTAATTATTTTATTATTAATTAAATTAAATATTAGTGTAAAAGAAATTTTATTAAATAAAAAACTTTTATCATTTTTAACGATATGTAAAACAATTATGAATAAATAAGCTTCAGAACAAAGTATAAAAGATAATTTTGATATAAAGAAACTGAACATAAATACAGAGCATTAGTTGTCAATGAATAGATTTACAAATTTTATAATACATATTAAATCAAATGATATTAAAAATTGCAATGAATATAAAATTAATAATTAAAAATTAACTATGCTTTGAAAATATCTTACTGAAATTATAAAAATAACATTCGAAACAATAGTATAAAAAATTAGCTGATAGAAGAATATTATAAGTATAAAAGAAAATAAAAGTCAAATATATAGAGGAATATATATAATTGTGAACATTCCCATTTAATGAAATTAAATTTTATAAGATGTATTTTCATGTATATATTTTGAAAATTAAGATTTGGATGTCAATTTTCGATCCAATAAAGTTACCATATATGGATATTGTTATGGTAGATAGATATATAGATATATAGATAGATAGATAGATAGATGGATAGATAGATAGATAGATAGATAGATAGATAGAGAGAGAGAGAGAGAGAGAGAGAGAGAGAGAGAGAGAGAGAGAGAGAGAGAGAGAGAGAGAGAGAGAGAGAGAGAGAGAGAGAGAGAGAGAGAGAGAGAGAGAGAGAGAGAGAGAGAGAGAGAGAGAGAGAGAGAGAGAGCGAGAGCGAGAGAGAGTGAGAGGTGGGAGGGAGGGATCGAAGGAGGGAAGAAAAGAAAAAGATGAGATAATGGCATTAGAGATAGTATTATTGAGAGAGAAAGAGATATAATATTGAGAAAAGTAAAGAGAAGGGCAAGTAAGACGGTGAAGTAGAAGGAGAAAGAGAACGAAGAAATAGCGAGGCAGGAGAGGGACTCCTTCTTTACGAGGAAACCTTTCTCCCGATCCTGAGAGAGGCTCGCCGGGTTCGAAACTGCTGTAACCCGTCAGTTCTTACCGGAACACCAGAGCAACCAAGCCAAGACACCGCGAGAAGAAAGTTCTATCTTCTTCGCGTTTTTTCATACTTTACGTGGCCCTTTGACGTATACAAACACGCGCGCGTGTGCGCGTGCACGCGCATGCATACATGCCTACGCCCACAGATACATTCACACGTATTTCCGCGGGCTCAACTACACATTCACATATATACATATATATCCATGCTTATGCGTGCGCGTAAGTGCGCGCGCATTATAACGCGGTATTTAAAGAAAATTGAAAATAAACGTATAAGTATTATATAAATAGTTGATTGAGTCTTTATAACGTAATTAATTAGAAGAAGTTTAATAAAGGTAAAGACTATCGTTAATTCGTGCTTTTGTTCGTGATAAAAAGGTGAAAAGATATATTTCAATTTGAGCAAATATATTGTATCTTATTGTAGCGGAAAAGGGAGGACACGACGTATGGTGTGTATATTGGAAAGCCGCCGATTTTACCTTTCATGACAGTGTGCAATTGTTTAGTTATTTACCGCGAAATATACAAGTGCGGAACTAAGGGCGAAAATGGGTGCCGAAATGCGCCGGCTCCGGCTGACTAAACTTCTGCTGTTCACTTTTATTCCACTCATTGTTGGAGCTACCGATGATGGTATGTATATTGTATAATTGATATTTCACTAGATACGAGTCGATAAATATATATCTGTTTAATTTGAGTAACAATTTTTACAAATGAATCATTGAATAATAATTCTTATTAATTTTTATAATAGTTTCATCAAACAATACTATAAAATATATGTTCCCCTTTTATACGTTTATTTTTTATGTTGAAACAATTATTACAATCATGAGTGATAAATTAAATGGTTGACAATAATAATTACCAATAATCAATTTTAACATATTAATTGATTGGAAGTTAAATTGATAAAATTTACATATACATATGTATATAGTTGTATATATAGTAGTTGTATATATTATTTATATATGTCAAATATATATATATATATAATATAAATATACTTTTTTATGCAATATAATGTGTTACATTTATACAATGCAATGAGCAAATGTAATTAATCAATTTTACAAAAAGTGCATGATTATCATAGTTTTTAATAATGAATAATGCTAAAAAAACAAAAATTGGGTAAAATTTATTTTTAAAATATTTAGAAAAAAGTTACAAAAAATATTATATTAGGCTGTCATCAATTTATGAGATTAAATACTCGTTCAAAAGTGAAATTTTTTTTTATAATTATTTAATGTTAATATAAGAAAATAAATCTTTGAAAAATTTGTAGAAAAAAATTATCAAAATGAATTTATTAAATTGATTATAATAAATGCTATTTTTTTCTGTATAAATAATTCGAGAATAATTATAATTTATCGTAAAAATTTATACAATATATATTATTAATATTTTGCAATAACTGTAATATGGATATTTATTAAAATATTGTTATCTTTTATCGAATAGAAGGTTTTAAATTTCTTAATTATATGATAATGCATACTAATTTATAGTGAATGAAAATAAAGATTCAAATTATTAAATAATATGTGTATGATTTTATTTATAGAAAAAATACGTCTAGATATCGTAAAAATAATTAAAATAATTATTATTTATCTTATATGATTATATTATTTTGTTTAAGAATAAATAAAATAATAAAACCTAGTTTTTTATATATTCAATTTAAATTGAATACTAATAAAAAATTTACGTATAATTTTCACTTCATAAGTAATAAACAAACATAAAAATTTATATAACAATTACTTTAACTGAAAATATTTATAACGCATTTCCAATATCCATGATGGATGTGAAATTTAATAATGGTTTCCTAATAATATTATATGCTTTTGTAGTTTATGGAAAATTAATTACATAAATGCAATCATTACATAAAAACTTATTCATTACTAAAATGTAAAGGAAAACTGCTTTTACAAATAAACTAATAAGCATATTATTTTTCGCATTTTATATTGCTGAAAAATATTTGAACTGCCACGAAAATTCACTACATTTTGTAGACAATTTCATTCTGCTATATAATTAGTTCAATTTTACTCTGAAGTCATCACACAATAGTCGAGATAAAATAAAAGTTAGATATTATTTATGTATATCGAATATATTATTTAAATATTATACATAAATTAGTTTGAAAGTGACATATTTAGATTTATTATTGATTGAATTTTTAAATAAAAGCTTAATTAATAATGCTTTATATCATACGTATAATTTTCATTAAAGATTAAATAAACACGAAATAAAAATTAGAATTACAATTAATAAATAAAAAATTTATGATTTAAGAGTCATAATAATAGAAACTAAGAAGAATTAGTAATGAACGGGGGGAGAAGGTAGATATATATATATACATATGTATCAGAGAGAAAGAGGATGAGAAGCCCAACGAAGCGGATCACAGATGCAATGCTGCCTCAGCAGGTGTTCGATACGTGTATGTGACTTTGCCTTCGTGGAGTGCACTCGGCAATAATATTAAGAAAACGTGTACGCCGGGAGACCGGAAGCTTTATGTACATGTACATCCTAGTGTATATATTTTTGTTTTTTCTGATAAAATTTGTATCTTTTCTTTTTTACTATTGTACTACACCTTACATACATATATTAATGCAAGAGAATGAATTTTGCATATTTTAATATTATTGCTACACATTATAATAAGAATAAATTATAAGAAGTAAAATATTGTATTCGATAAAAGCAAAAACAAAAAAATATCAAAAAATATGATAATGAAATTAATTTAATGCCATTCATTTCACTATATGATTGTTACTATTTATTTGTTATTATTACTTATATTAATACAATTTAAATAATTGAAGAAAATAATTATTATTGAAAATTAAAAGATAACATTGATAATTTTGATATTATAAGTAATATACATAAATTAACAACAGGTATAATTGAATTTAATTTCTAACATACTAAATTACTTAGAATATAAAAAATTAAAAAATTCAACATTCTATAATGTTTTTGAAATATTAATAAAAATTGCTCTTATTTAAGAGTATAAAATTTCAAGAACTTTACTTTTATTATAATTAGAAAATTCAATAGTAAACACAGACATACACACACGCGCGCGCGCGCGCGCTCACACAAGCTCCCACGCACGCA